TTGTTATGAAAGATGCTTTTGAAACATTTATTAATAAAAGACCTAACAAACCAGCTGAGCTTCTAGGTATGGTTTTCAATTTTATGAAATACGTATTTTATTTTTTATTTTGTTGTTTTAAATTACGTAAGAGGAGTTCAGTTTGACCTCCTAGTTTGTCATAATATTGCCAGATTGACTATCAATGTTTTTAATAAACCATTTCTCTCAACTTTAGTGTTCACAAGACTTGGTTCCTTTGTTTAATAGTAACCCAGCCCTTTGGAAGCTCATGTGTCTTTAGCGTCCTATAAAATTATCAGTTTTTCTTATCAGTAGATAAGACTCATTTTAAAATAAATGAAAGCTTTCCTTACTGTCATGAAACCTAATGATTTTATATTATAAGGGATATCTTTTTGCTGACATAAAAACTTGAAACACAGTATCAATTTGATAGTTCAAGAAACTTGAAACAAATTATCAATTTGATTTTTCAAGAACAATAAATTATTTAAATGAGTATAATCAACGCTTAATAAGTCCTTAAGACTTTGGGATTAATATAATCTCAGTTTCATGCAATATCTTGCAATATTTTGTTTTTTTAAATAGATTAGGGGCATGGTAGTGAGGAAATGAACTGTATTGTAATATTTGGTCATTGAGGTTATAGAAATATAAGAATATCAGTGTAGAACTTACAGGAAGTAATTTATCTTTTTCTGCCACTCATCTGTCCGTTAAGTCACTTATTCATTTTTTGTTTCGTGAAAAGTAACGCACCTCACTCTGGGGGAAAGTATTTGCTTGAATAAATGGTTTTTGTTCATATACATACTTGAAAATATAGCATTACTTAGAAAATTATTGTTTTACATTTTAGCAAAGTATGTGGATTCAAAACTTCGCACAGGTAACAAAGGAGCTACGGATGAAGAACTTGAAGAATTATTAGCTAAAGTGGTAATTTTATTTAGGTTTATTCATGGTGAGTAATTTGGTTTAAATGTCTATTTAAAAGTTTAAAAAAATGATAACATTGTGGAAGTAGAAAGCACTAAGTGCAAATCCCAACCTAAATTGAACTCAAATAATGTTTTCTGGTGGTAAAACTGGTAACTTTAAAAAGCTAACAATTCAGTGGCAGTAAGTATGTTCACATGATTGTGCAGCCATCACAATTACTTAATCTCAAAAATTTCAGTATAAACTCCATACACATTAAGCAGTCATTTCTCACTTCCTTCTTGCCTTCAGCTTCTGGAAACCAAAAATTTGACTGCTCTCTATCTGAACTTAAGTGTTCCGAGATGCTTTATGTAAATGCATTCAGATAATACGTAACCATCCGTTTCACTTGCTATTTTCAGATGTATTGAATATAGTGTCTCATTTAATTTTCTGCCATTTTGCATTTTCCATCTTTGACGTTAAGGTGTTTTTCCTTAAATGTTACAGACAAAGATGTTTTTGAAGCCTTCTACAAAAAAGATTTAGCAAAACGTCTCTTACTTGATAAGAGTGCTTCAGTTGATGCAGAAAAGTCAATGCTGTGCAAACTTAAACAAGGTGTGTGTCTTGACAGGTATATTGTCTGTTTCAGTCATGTTTTTATTTTGGCTTTTGTGTTTCCTGAATCTGGGTGGAGAACTATGATTTCATTTCACTGTTTACCTCTCATTTGGTCAAGAGCTTGTTCTACACATCATTTTACAAACTACTAGTTTAATGTGGTTATCCAAAAGTGTATGCACTCATTTGGCAGCTCTGTCATCATCTTTATGTGTTCCCACAGGCAGGTTATTTTAAGATTTGGATTTATAAATTTAGGGCATTGGCTAAACTCTGGATAAGGTGGGATCATCCCACAAACATAAGTAAAAAGTAAGAGAAGCATGAAGATGTATAAAAAGGCAGTTTAACCTAGTCAGAAAATTGAGGACAGTTTCTTTAAGGAAGCATGATTGAAATACAATGTGGAGATACAGAAATGTTGATGGTGATAGCAGAAGTGAGTCCATGCTAGAAAGAGTTTAGCAATTTGAAACGCTGGGGAATCAGAATAATCAGAGAAGAACACACAAGAGCAGTCATAAAGGCTAAACTGAAAAGTTAATAGGTGTAAGATTTTGCTTGACCTTGGAGACGTTGTCTGTGATACTGTTTTGTACCCTGGAAGCAGGATTATTTAAAGAATTTGAAATAAGTTGTAGGAGTACTAATTTCTTTCTTTTTTTCTTTGTATTTTTTTCAGGTTTTTATTTAAATTTCAGTTAGTTAAAATACAGTGTAATAATAGTTTCAGGTGTACAATTGTGATTCATAATTTCCATACAACACCCACGGCTCATCAAAATAAGTGTCCTCTTTAATCCGCATTACCCATTTAACCCATCTCGCACTCACCTCCCCCTCCGGTAACCATCATTGTGTTCTCTGTAGTGAAGAGTCTGATTTGCCATCCATCTTTTTTTTCGTCTACTATGTTTATCTGTTTTGTTTCTTAAATTCCACACATTAGTGAAATTATACAGTATTTGTCATTCTCTGACTTCATAATCCACTCTAGCTCCATACATGTTGCTGCAAATGGCAAAATTTCATTCATTTTGATGCAGACCCCCCCCCAGACACACACACACGTCAGTGGGGTGGGGCGGGGGAGAGAAGGAGAGAGAGAGAGGGAAGGAGAGAGAGAGAGAGAGAGAGAGAGAGAGA